GTGGGGGGGGGGGTGGGAAGCTCAGAGCCCAGAGAGGCAGGGGAAAGAGGAGCATTGTGGAGGATCAGGAGTCCGGCATCTGGGAGTCCCTGATGCTGCCCAGGCACAGCTACCTTCCCCTCTTCCCAACCCCGGACATTTAAATAAAAGCCCTAGTTCCAATGTTGCCTCAGCTCCAGCTTCGGTTTCCCCATGCCTCCCCATTTTCCAGGCGCACAGGGTCCGGTCTGAGGGTCGCCCTGCCGAGCTGGGAATGGGGGTCCTCCTCTGAGCCTCCCCCCATCTCTGATGCCCTGTGTCTGTCGCTCCTGGGCCCAGCGAGCCCGCGCCTCTCCAGCTTCCGACCCCAGCCCCAGAATTCCGGTCTCAGTTCAGTTCCAGCCCACAAGCTACAGGAAACCAGCTTTTCTCTTCCTCCCCAGAGCCAGAGGAAGAGGGAAACCGCCCACCCCCCTCATGCGCGCACACACACCCCTCCCGACACATCCGAGCACCGCCCTTGGCGGAGCCCACCCCCAGCCCCGGCGCCCCCAGTGCCAGGGTTCCGGCGCTCTCCCCAAGGTCCAGGATCCCCTCATCAGAACAGAGATGGGGGTGGAGGCGAGCAGGAGACCAAGGAGAAAGGGAAGAGAGCCGCCGTCCCCTCCCGGGTCTTTCCCAGCCTGAGTTGAGGGGGGAGGGGAGGAGGAGGCTGGACCCCCTGTAACCTCTGGGCCCTCTCAGGCTCCGACCCCCCTCTCACTACACACAGTTCATTCTGCTTCGACCAGTTTTCTCTCCGCACAATGGCCCTTGCGGACCTGAGGTCCCCCAGTGCTCGGAAAAGCCCTTCCCGGCCTCCGCGCCCCCTTTGCGCCCGCATCCGCCCGGGTCCCGGCGGCTCACAGGTCTCAGCCGGAGACCCTCTGCTCCCCGTCCACGCGCCCGCCTCCCCCTTGGCCCCGAGTCCCCTGTCCAGACTTTTCCAGGTTCCAGCTCCGTGTCCTCTTCCCACCCCACACATGTCTCTCCACTGATCTCTAACTCCAGGCCCCCTCCACGCCGGCCCCTGTCTCCTCCCTAGTCCTGCGCAGGCCCCCAACTTCAGCGTGGGCCCCCAACTCCAGCCCCAGTCCTTCCAAACTCCGCCTCTCCAACTCAAGCCTTGGTCCCCTCCAGACTTCAGCCGCGCCCCCACTTTCCAGGCGTCCCCCCCACCCCCTCCATCCCGCCGCCAACTCTCCTTACTCACCCGTCTGTTCCCGGCCGGTAAAACTCTACGGAGAAGCCGAAGAAGGAACCGGGGGGCCCCGAGAGCACAGCTGGGGCCTCCGAGTCTAAGTTGAAGCCCCCGACCCTGGGTGTCGGCGGCAGCAGCAGCAGCAGCAGGGGCAGCAGCAGCGGCAGCGGCGCGGATCGGTGCCGGGGGCCCCAGCGTGGCTGCACGGCGTGGAGAGGGGACCCTGGCGTCCGGCTCCCCATAGCGCCCGCTCTCCCCTGTCCTGGGGCCACCGACCCGGAGCCGCTTCCTAAACCTCCCAGAGGCGAATGACTCAACGCGGGGAGGAGTTTGCCAAACTCCCGGCTGAGCCCTCCCCCCGCCCGCCAGGGGGGTGGGCGGGGGGGCATTCCTGGGTCCTTGGAACGCTGAACCCGAGCCCCCCACCCCGGAGGGCCGTGGGGGGGCTGCACCTCTCCACTCCCCTCTCCCAGCCCCAGCTGGAGGCCGGTAGTTTGTACTGGGTCAGACTGGGCGGGATTGGGCTCTTCACCCTCCTCCCTCGGCTTCCCCCTCCTTCCTCCCCCCTCCTTTCCAGATGTACAACGTAAACGCTCGGAAAAGGAGTCGGAAAAAGGGAGCCGAGAATTTCCTAATGAGGAAAAGAATCACCTCTGGAGGGCGGAGGGAGCCTGTGTGTGTGTGTGGGGTCGCCCTCACTTCTTCAGGGAGGAGACTTTTGGGTCGAAAGAGACAGGAGACACCTCTGGCATCTGGCCAGCTGGGATTCCCCCTTGCTTTCCGGGGCCACCGGGTGCCTGGGTGCCTGCCAGCTGGATTTGGGACTCAGGAGTTGAGGGACAGAGTGGTCCCGATCTGATAGAGGGCCCCCTCACCCCAAGGAGTTTGGGGTCACTCACCAGGAGGGTTCTGCGCCCAGTCACAGCCTTCTCGGCTGTAGGGTATGGAAACCTCCGTTGAGCTCCGTCCTAGAATCTGGCAGTTGACCAAGAGCCTGGGAGTGATAGGGAGGGTGGTGTTATGGCCCCTCAGTGTCTTCTTGATAAAACCCACGTGACTCCTATAAACCTGGAGAACTGTAGCATGGGGTGGGGGGGATGGGGGTGTTATCTTGCAAAGGGGCCACCCCATTCTTCCCAGACCCCCTGGGGATGTTGAGGAAGGAACTCCCTAGCAAGGGAAGGCAGTAACCCCCTGCCCACCCCTTCCTCCAACCCTGGCTCTGTGTAATGAGATCACCTTTCAGGATTCTAGTCTTTATCTTAGTCTGGGGGAGGGGGACCTAGGGGCCTAGATTCTCTCCTAACCTCTTCTCCTTTCCAGCCCCCGTCCGGCCTTTTCCCTCCAGGACTTCTTTCCCTCCAGAACAATTATTCTCTGAATCAAGCCCTGCTCCCTCTGTTCCCCAGGCCCCTGCTCCACTCTGCCGCAGGGACCCAGAATAAAAGTGCCCATAATCAATGCTTTTTCATTTGCTTTGAGTTTCCTTCTGCTACTCTACTTTCTGTCCCAAATCACCCAGCTTCCCCCCCCAGCCCCCCCCTTTTTAAAAGCCCGTCTCTAGAGCCAGCTGCAGCCCTAGGGAGAAGCCAGCTGGTTAGACTGTGGGATGATGCTGGCCCCCAGCCCACTCTCACATCTGCAGGTCCTGATGTTTTCTTAGGTGAGGAACCCAAGCAATCTCTGGGTCAGGATCTTAAGCACAGCCCTACCACAAAGGTAACCTCTAGGCAAAAACTCAAGCCAAGGGGTGAGAACCCCCTTTGGGAGGAGAGGAGCTGAGGCCTGACTGCTAAGCGCATGTGTGTGAACCCAGCTCTCTCCTTTTTTGAGCCTAGGCACAAGCTCTTTAGATTTTCCCAGGATTTAGGAGCTTGGGGCGGAGGAGGGAGGGGTACAAGGAGAGAGGTGTGTGACTCAGCCCCTCCCAGGAGCCTTGGTAGGGGACAGGGGACATAGCGTCCTACTCCAGTCCTCTTCCCAACTCCACCGCCCCCCAGCCTTGGCCAACTCAAACAGGCCCCCTCCCTGTCCATTCCTTGCTTCTGTTTACACGGGTAGCCCCTTAGTCATTCTCTGGCTGGCTTTTCCACTCTCTCCAATATCCCTCCTCTCTTGGCTCTCTCTGCCCTTATAAGTCCTCTCCCAGTTGCCCCAACACCTCTTGCCTTCCCTCTCCCCATGCCTGCTCCAGGCCAGGCCTGAAATTGGGGTTTCCTCCTAGTTGGAGCTGCTTCGGCATAGCCCTCTGGGTCTGGAAGCTGGCCGAGAAACATCAGCCAGGAGGGCCCCTAGAGGTCATCAGCCCAGCTTCAGAAGGAGGAAATGGGTGTAGAAAGTTTAAGTGACTTGTCCAAGGTCCCATGGCTAGCCAGTTAGGGTTGAGTCTTCTAGAACCTAAGTGTTTTGACTCTAAACCCAATGCCTTCTCCTCTCAGCTCACTGCCCTCGAAATGCTCCATCTTCTCTCAGTGTTTTCTGTCTTGTGTATCTCTCAGCTTGTCTCTGACCCAGCCTGTGTGTCTCCAAGTGTCTCTGTTTTCTTTCTAGGACATGACCTCTCTGGTACCCTCTGTCTCTTCATCTCTCAGTAGGAATGATTTGCTGTGATGACAGACTATTATTAATCATGGTCTGCTTGACAGAGGAGCAGAAGGGGTGATGGGCAAGGGCGGGACACTCACCAGGCTCCTGCTGTCACCAGCCTGCCTGCCCAGAAGGCTGGAGCTTTAGAACCAGAAGAGTCAATTTCCATAGAGATTTCCATAGAGGTGCAAATTCTAAAGCCAGGAGCCATGCTGAGTTTAACAGGGTGGGAGTATTAATAATGTTATTTAGCATATGCCATATGCCTGGCTCTGGCCTTGACATGTAACCTGCCTTTATCTCATTTAATCTTCCCAACTATCTAGCACTAAAAATATTAGGATCTTCATTTTACCGTGAGGAAACTGAGTCCCAGAGAATGAAGTGACTGAGCCAAGATCAACAGAAATAAAGGGGCAGAGGTGGAATCCAAATTCATTCCCAGTTGATTCCAAAGCCTGTTGCTTTTCCCAATGCACTGTTACTTTAGTCCTCTAGATTAGGCTGGGTTTCTACAGGGGGAAGATTGTGGAGCAGAGATTTTTAACCCAGGTCCATTATTCCCAGTGGGGGGTGGAGGGAAGATTGGGTGCACCATCCACTCATCCTCTGAAACTGGATGGAAATTTGTGTGTGTATGTACGTGATTTCTCTGGAGTGAGACTCGATTGCCTCTGTTAGATTCTCAAATGCCTGGAAATTCGGAGGCTGGATGTCCTGACCTCAGGAATAGGCTTGAGCCTTGTTGAGCCTGTAGAAAGCCTGGCTGGTGGCGTTAGCTGAGTGAAATCTTCATGAAATTAAACTTCCCAACGGGTGTGTGGTAGCTACGCAAACAGGGTGTAGGTGCGCTGAGATCACGCCAATCCCCTCAGTCCCTGCAGTTGGCCAAAGCCCCCGGGGCTGGTGGCTTCTGGCCAGAGCGACCTCTCTTGCTCATTCCAGAGGACAGTACAAATATGACGTCAATATGATATGATGCAAAAATGACTGGGAAGAGTTCGCTGGACAAAGGGGACAGAGGGGCTTGTTGGCTCCTGGCTTTGGGCCTGGGGTCCCACTCCTGCCCTGTGGTGGGCTGATGAATGGGAAGAGGGAAGGAGGGAGGGATACTAATGGAAGATTATAGAGCTGCAAGGGGATTCCTGGAAGGAGAACAACAGCCCAGTTATCCCGGGAGTCTGGGTCCAGAGCCAGCTAAAGCTGGGGCAGTGCTGTGTGTGTGTGAGTGTGTCTAAGAGAGAGAAATTGGAAAGTACAGGAGTGGGTCATTTGAACCCTGGGGCTCTGTTGCTGCCCTGACTCAAGGTCTCAGTCTAGGGAAACTGATGGCTCCATCATATGTGAGTCACCACCCAGCACTTAAACTTCCTGTCTGACCCCATGTCCCAGACTTAAAATAACCCCAAACTCCCTCCCCTTCCCACCCCCACTTTGCTCAGAGCACTGGAGGGATGGATGAAGGATCTGCAGGGTGACAAGATCAGGCCTAGGGGATGAGATGCTTGGGTTCACTTGGTGCTCCAGGACTCTGACATCTCTCTAAGGACCAAATGGGGAGTGTTTCCAGGCTGGGCTAGGCTAGGGAGGGACGGGAAGACAGGGATTAGGGGAAGGGCACTGACTGGAGCGGGGCAGGGCTAAGGGGACGCTGGGGTAAAAAAATATAAGACCCAGGGGTCCAAAACAAGCAGATCAATGAGAAGGAATTTCCCCTACTCCAGCTAGTGCCTGCTCTTCCAAACCCTCTTCAGTTTTTCTATTTTTCTTTTTTGGCAATAGAATTCGGCAATAGAATGTAACAACCCCAGATAGGAAGTTAAAAGGGAAATAGGATTCTCTGGGGTGTCCTAACGCTGACATCATTTGATTTGCTCATCCACCCACCCCCATTGCTTTCTGTTCTTTTTCTCCGCTTGGCGGCCATGTACCTACCTTTGGAGAGGAAAGGAGTGCCTGAAGCTTCTGGGCTCAAGGGCCTGGAAACTGGAGGAGAGATCTTCCGGGGTGGGGGCTGTGGGCCAGAGCATCAGTTTCCTGGGATGGTCTTCACAGATGTAAGCACATCTGGAGCCCATCAGGGAGGGACCTGGAGCATCAGGATTCTCAATACACATCTGATCGAGGCTGTGAGGCTCTGAGGATGAGACAGGCGTTCCCACTCACCCCTGCCATTTCTAGTCCTCTCTTAGGAAGGATTACCAATCCTAGACAGGAAGTTAGGGCATTGGAAAGGGCCAGGAGGAGGGCAAGAGGGCCAGGGATTGCACCCAAATCCAGACATACTTTTTCACTAGCTTCACCTCTTTCTGACTCTACAGAAGTGACAGCATCTTTGATCAGGTAGGGACCAGGGTGTGAGTGAGTGTGTGTGTGTGTGTGTGTGTGTGTGTGTGTGTGTGTACAGCTTAGTGTGCCATGTGTCCTTAACACAATAATATATTTGCTATGGCATCAGGTTGGGGATGGGAACCAGCATGTTCCCCCCTTGCTTTTCATGAAAAGGCCTAAGTCCTCCCAGTGAGTTCCCATGAGTTCTCTGGACCTCTGGCACTTCTCACCCTTCTACCCACAAACAAATACACATACTCCTTCCTCAGCTGCAAATTCCTCCCTGTCCATCATCACCTTGTAATGAGCACTTCGTTTTCCAGGGATCATACCCAGGGCTAAGAATAGGTCCACCCTCTTGCCCTTCCCCTCAGGGAGATCTAACCATTTGGAGTGCAGAATTAGGAGGTAAATGGGTGTACAGTGACCTCTGCAAGGGATCCAGGGATCCCCTGCAGCCACCCCCTCAGGGTAAGATGGAAAGTCT